AAACATGCAGGGCAGTGTGCCTCGAGGACCAGGGTTGGGAAACGCTGAATTAGAGGTAGGGTTAAATACTTTGAGCATAAAATTTCATTAAATAATGTTGAACAATAAAACCTTCTTGACCTGAGAGACTTCAGGTGACAGTGTGGACTTCTCAGGGCAGCAGAAAGCAGCTTCACTTCTGAATCCTGTAGGTTGTTGTTACTCAGGTCCAGGTTTTTGAGACTCGAGGACTGAGAGCTGAGAACTGAGGACAGAAGTTCACAGCTTTTRGCTGACAAGTTACAGGAACTCAGTCTGAAAAGACAAAATAGAATTAAAAGGTTAGATCTGTGGTTCACCTCTCTGCAGAATTGTCACCTTAACGCTGTGGAGGTGGTTGAGTACCCTGTGATCCTGGGGGTCTATGTTGTGTGGGGCATTMTCCCCTTGTAGAGTTTTTCATGGCAAACAAGCCTTGGGTGAGGGGTCAAACTATGAGCAATTCACAACTCTTGATGAATGGAACATCATCTATTTCAGGAAACCCTGCCTAGAAAACAGAAACCAAGGCAACTCCCTAGAGCAGGGACTTTGTTAGACCTCGTCAGCAAGCACCTGGTGGTTGAACCATGGCTCCTAAGTCTCGGCCGAGCCAAGCCTGCAAAAKCAACTGGATGCCACCTCKATGTGGACCCACCACCTACGGTGAGGATTGTTAAGACCGGYTGTGATGCATGCCGGGCAGTGGGCGATGAAGGGTCCTTGGCTGTGCCAATTTCTGGTGGCACTGYCTAGTTTAGTGGTGTCAAACTTCAGTCCTTAAGGACTGCTATCTTGCATGTTTTCCCTGTTTCTTTGCTCCAACATACCTTATTCAGTGGTTTAATTATATCCTAAAATTCTYTAGAAACCTGTTAATCACTCATTCTAGSAAATCAAGTGTGTTGYAGCAGGGAAACAAGAAAACATTCAGGATAGCAATGCTCAAGGGCTGAAATTTGACACCTGTGGACTAGTAATACAGACAAGGAACTTCAGAAGTTGAGCATTAACAACTAAATAGTTGGGCTCATGTCTAGACATAGCTTGGCTCTGGAATCCAACRCCTGGTAAGAGGCTGGGGCCTCATGTACAAAGATTTGGGTAGATTTCTTACTGAAATGTGGTGTAAGGACAAATCCAGAAAATGGCTTACGCACAAAAAGATCCAGATTAATCAAGCTGTGCGTACACACATTTCTGTTGTACATCACCATCAACATGGAACTGAGCGCACCTGAGACACCTTCCCTGACACGTCTTCATTTACATATGTCAAATAAATTATTTCCAGCATGTCATGTTTGTGTGATCCCTGCATAATCAAAAATGATTTCTAGATTCAGGAAAAATAATGAGTTAAATATAATGTGAGAGAGAAAAATTCCTAAGGAATGGAGTAAAATCTGTAGGTCATGCACAAAGAAGGAGTGATTGTGTGTCTGTGTGAGTGCTCGCTCGTGAAGCTGCTGTTACTGGGGGCGCACCCAGCACAGCCGTCCATTCTGAGCCTGGAAATATTAACTTTGCTCACGAGTTTATGAACATAATTATTGTAAACACAGAGTACCTTAGATGTTTGGTAGAACATAGATCTTTGTTTATTTAATAGTTGATATGAAGACTTTTACCACATATTTTGTCAATTATTACATAATGTGGTTTTAGTGCTGCTTTATTACATGTTGAAGCCTGATTTTATTACATTATTACATATTGTGGAGTTATTACACAATGTGACATTACAGAGTGTCACCCTTTTCAGATAACTTTGTCATTGCTCACAGTTTTAAATTGTCAGTTTATATCTGCATTGGGGTATACCTATATGTTCAGTAAGTATTTCAGTCTGTTTTCTTTCTCTTAGAATTATAATCATGAGTGTTGCAGAATAGTATACCAACTGTGAAGACAGTTTGC